TTCGACTTCTCTCTCTAGTTAGCGGGGCTGGGATGCAATAGAATAGCTAGTTTATTGGTCTTTGGCTACAAGTCTTTGTTCCGTTCGCAGTCTAAGTGAACTCGTAACCGCTTCAAACCTAGCAAGTTGCAACAATATTTAGTTCAAACCTCGTATTAATACGTTTTTAGCACAATTATCATATAAGTTAATGGATTTTACGCAGTATTATTACAAAATACATGTAAATTAGTTAAAAAGATTAAATTGAGAAGTATCTGTGGCGAACAAAGCGGTCGTATCCATGGAATAGAAAGAGCTTCCAGCAACAATTACATAAAAGTTAATTACAACACACAATATTGTATTAAGTCAACACTGACTATCAACAATTGAACGGAAACTGAAGACAGAAACACAGAATCGATTTTAATATGAAAAATATGAAAAAAACTGAAAGTGACTGTTAGAAAAGTCAGTGAAATGCAATTACAATAATAAATGAAGTGAATGGGACTAGTTTATGAAAATACTGAAAAATACTACTCAAACTGACGTTACAGCATTCTCAGGCATTATTAGAAATACAACTGGTTACTGAATATTAACTAGTGTAAAGAAATACATCGAAATGAGAGGGGAATAAACGAGGAATTGAATACAAACAAATAAAAATATTAAATTTTAATATACACAAAGATAATTTACAGAAACGACTGAGAAAAGATCTTATTTTGGCCTGATGGTAATTTCCATCAATAACTGATACCAGTAGGCGAACGATTGAAAATTAAGCACTTCCGAAGAGTTATTTCATTTTCGTATTATTCAGCAACATTTTATATCTACAACTTCACTATGGGAAGAACCTAAAACTCTCGGCTTTTTCATTGAAGATTATGCTCTTATAAACCGCTGACACGCAATCCAATACTCCACATACTTAAATTCGATCGATTTATAATGTACAGAATGATATTTATTCAAAGTCATCAATTATTTACTTTCTAAATTCCAACTGGATTTCCTTAGAGTGTACAGATTCCCATTTAGTCAGTCATAACTAATGAAGAGCCTAGCACACATATGCGTTGGCTCGAATTACCATACCCAATCAGCACAACGAGATAAAATAAACAAAATGAATGGTGAGGGGGTTCGAAACAATGTAGTAGGAATGATAACGAAAAAGATTGTACATTTACAATATGGTCAGAAAAGACAGGATGAAAAGGTATGCATAAAGAAATAAGGTAAAGAGTAGATGAATCTAAGATATGCAACTCAACATCTCCAATTATTTATTGGCGTTATCATTTCAAACCTAACCATATAGTGTGTATATATCAACATACATCAGTTCAGCAGTCAATGACGTAATTAACTGATCTTGAAGGAAAGGATAAAAGAAAAAAACAAGTGGAAATACAAATGAAACTTACACAATCATTTCTTTATGCCCATATTTACAAGCAATATGTATTAAACTACGCTGTTTATTATCTTTAATCTCCGCAAGTTTACTTGAACACCATTGATTCGTACAAGAAGAATCATTTGCACTGACTAATTGAAATAACATTTTTAATTTGGAAATATCACCAGAACGAACTAGTTTCATAATAATTGATTTTAGTTCTTCTTCATTTTGAAATAAAGTTTCCAGATTTGAACAGTTATACATGTTTCTGTGATTTATAAAACGAAAAATGAAAACTAACTAATCATAATGGTCACTAATAATGAAGAAAAACCACAATCAAAATATATTGTTGGTTATGCTTACTAGGGATCAACTTCGAGAGCCAATTCTTGGAGTCCTATAAAGTAGTAATAAGCAGTGGAATTCAATCATATTAAGTATGAGACAAACATCATCATTGGTAATGGAGAGTGATCTCAGAATATCGCTAGTTGACTGGAGTTAGAGACGCAAACTGTTGGATTCCAACTCAGTAGTTTGAAAGTTTAATGTCTCGCCACGAGACCTTAAATTCCTGGGTTCGATCCCTGGTAGAGCTATGGATTGTACTACTAATGAGTCCTATGCTCGGGTGAAACATCCACTCAGCGCCTCTTATTTTCAATTGTTATCTCACTAAATTCAGTTCGTAATGTAAAGTTACAAATCTAAATAACAATAGCTTTTGGACAGATCTCAGTTTACTTGGTAGTTAGACAGGTGAATTAGAGATAGTTTTATACGATAGAGTAATCAGTGTATTGAACACATTTCATACGAAGTAACTAACAGGCATAATACTTGAGTTAAATGTGTCGTACAAATAAATAATGGTCTTGATTCCTTAAAATATATAACCACACTTTTTAAGTCATCTAGTACTTCTATCTTTTAAAATCTATTTGCTCGATATTTAACGATAAATACCATGAGTAAAGTTATCAGTTCGACCTTGTCAATCATAACCAATATTTTATCAGATTAAGTGAGTCGACATAGCAGTTTTCAGTAGTCAATGTTAATATTATTTATGCAAACCGATAACATGGTGATAACAGTGAACAATAGTTGGAGATGTGTAATATAATAGGTCGGAGGGGTGCAGACATAATTTTCCTTTGTCTACCCTCAGATGAAAACTCAGTATCATTTTATAGGATCACATCCTCTCATTTTAATATTTTCTGTACAATCGCTTATACTACTACTAGCACAACTTTGGAAGTCATTTTATCAATTTCATATCACTACGCTGCTGTTGAGGAAACTTGAAAAATGGACGTTTGTACCAGGTTCTAATTTGTTTATGATTGTCCGGGCCGATAATTAGGGAGTAGCTAATGTCCTGATTGATTTTTATTACTCAAGTTTTTTGAAAGAGTTAACAGTATGACTAATATACTAAAAACTTAATATTTACGGAGCAGCACTTTATTTCTATGTTGAGAATTTCTAAAAAACGATCGATATGAAACAATCGATCTTAGTGTCCTAAATATTGATAGTAATCATACGAACAAAAAGGAGAATCAAGACAGTATCACTTGATCAGGGTACATTTCATAAAGCTGTACAGATTAGTAAGATAGTACAAATATCACAACCAGTATGAATACAAGTGGGTTATTATGAACTACCTTATGAAGATTATGTATTCAGTGTAGGTTTTAACAGTAATGATTCAGTTGTTAGTAGCGCCAATAATAGGTATCTTTCTAACGTAGCCGATTAATCTAATGTGGATTAAAGAATGAAGTTAGACTCACATTATAAACGTGAATGACGTCATTACCTCATGACATGCAGATTAAACACAACAGGACTATTTATTTAAGCCTCAGATGATTAATTTCGATAGAAAACGAATATATAGTAGTGATGATAAGAAGAGAGAAGTTAGAGTAACAAATGTGCATTTAGAGACGAACAAAAAGATATTATCGAACCAGTCCAATATACTTTAAGTTTTGAAAATTCATGAGATTTTTAATATGTTCTACGTATTCAGTCAACTTCGTTTCTAAGTAATTGCCCACAGTATACATAATAAAAAAGCACCCGGACAATATCACATCCCTTACAAAAATCGAATGAAGTGTGGCGCATATAGATTTGAAGCCTCCTTGTACCAATGTTTATGTGTTTGAATAAATAAATCGGATGACCAGTCAGTCATAATAAACATAAAGCCTGGCATGGATGGAAATTGCCACACCATATTACCACAACGGAATCACATTATGGAGGTGAATACCGAAGTGGTTGTAGTATAAGTGATAGTCCAAAAGTATTAGAATTAGAGTATATAACTTGAAAAAAGAATTGGTTTGTGGAATAAAACGTATAACATAATACTAGAACTCAGAATCTAAGGGAAGATCAAGAGTGAATATATCTGCATCACTGATGCTTAGCTAAGTCACCAAACATCTGAAGTTTACGATAACTACATGAACCATAACCACATTAAATATCATGCGTAGAGGTAGGCAGTGGTCAGGTGTAAGCGATATAAATTCTAATCACCTCCATCGACAAAGATTCACAACATTACTAACCACCTTACCGTTTTTGGTTAGTAAGTTGAGTTCAACTCCAAGTGGTCCGAAATTATGCGAATTAAACTTCAAAGACATCTGTGACCAAATTCGTAGATGTACACAAATTTTCACAGGGTCAGTTATAGACCTATGTACCTGAGCATTAATGATCTTCACAAATTACTTTCCTTTTGAGATCATTTATCATTTGTTTATTTAAACACATAAACAAAGGGGCACCGAATACATATGCACCACAGAAGTCACTTGATTTGTGTGTGGGCTGCAATATTGTCCGGGTTCCCAGATCGAAGCAGCTGATTTTCTTAGAGGGCTACACTCGGACCCTTCGACCTAAAGGTCTGATCCACAAAGCATTGGAGCAACGTCAGATGTAGACCCATGGTAGCCGATGACCAACACGAGGTTCATACGTCATGTTCCATGTGAAGTTTTTGGACTATAGCCTCAAACCAAATATCGCAATCATGATCAACGGATACTCTGACAATATAAAAATCTATGATGAGCAAAAGTAAAAAGTCACTGGCTAATCGCTTTTACGTGCAACAAATTGTAATATACTAGTTGAATAGTTCTGATAGTGGTTAGTAGCGAAATCCAGGTTACGGGTTTCGTTTCAAGTGGAATTCGTCAGTTAGATGTATCTACAGTCATTCTGATAACTGAACTCAGACCCAGTACCATTTGCCCCAAAACTTCGACGCATTCTTTACTTAGCTACAGAGTTCAATTAATCACCGACCTGAAATTGTTGATTATATAGTTTGCATAACTAAGAATTTGAATTAATTAGCATATATTCAATTAGTTGGTTACTGGTTGAAATAACAACCCCAAAGAAATTTACTACCTCAGTCATATCAAATGTTTCAGTAATTTTAATCATGAATTCTTTCGGAAGAATGATCACTTACACAAACAAAAACATGCATAAAACTATGTACATATCAGGGAGTTCAGTACTTTCTTCAAGAAATCAAAGCGATAAATTTATTCACAAAATTCATTTTATTTTTTCGTTTTTCTTCAGTCATTTATAATAATAATAATACTAGTAGTAGTGATAGTTATGATAACAGTAAAAAGAAATATTAAATAACACAAACAAGCAACACTGAGAGGGGGTTGAACAGGAAAAGAGAATGTGGCAACCACCGCAACAAAAGAAAGAGAATGAGGGAAAAAGTTACGATATGAAAGATAAAATGAAGAGTTAACTTGCCTACCTCAGATTATCTTAACATGAGTATGATAATCACCATCGCTATTATAAAAGTCGAATTCTTTTTTAACAATAGATAGATAAGTGTATAACGTGTATAGCTGCCTGAACAAAAAGTATACATATGCTAAAGATGAGAGAAACAGATGACAAGAAAGATAAAGCAGGAGGAATAAAACAAAAGAGGCGTGGTCTCTTCAGTCCAATGTTAACGCACACTTTTACCTAATAAACAATGAGGGAAAAAGTATAAGTACACAAAGGAGAGTTGAAGGAGGAGGTAAGAGCAATTGGACTACTAAGGAAACAATGCAATCCAGGTTCAATAAATTTATAAGAATGGGAAATATGAGAAAAAGAAACAATAGAATTGTTTGCTTCGTACAATTAGTCCTTTAGGTGGTAATTCTAATTGTAGTGTTTGTCAACATTTCAGTTACGTACTAATTAAACAAAAGTTGAAATATTTTAGCTGAGTAAAATAAACAGTTTTCAATGATTTTCTTTAATACATGACCTTTTACTCTTATGTCGTGAGATGAACAAAGTGAAGAAAGGTGTGTGTGTGTGTGAAATGAAGGGAAAAATAAATAGTCGGACAAACAAAAGATTAACAAGACTTGAATTTCTATTCTTCTCACCTATAATTAACATTATTACTACCAGAAACCTATTGCATAATACCGACAAAATTCCGAGGTAGACTTGATTACTCCTGAGTGTGAACATGAATATATATATACTTATTAGCCTGTCTCAAAAAATGCACCCAAGATATACACGCACAAACAAAGAAAATAATTTGTACACAAAACTACGCAATATATTTACACATAGTGTACACTGTGTAGAGGTATGTGAAAAAAGCAAAATATCTTAAACACACAAAAACAGAAGAGAAGACATTGGGATAAAGAGGAAAAAAATCCTGTCCTAGATTGATTAACTGGCTAAATACAACGTATAAATAAGAGAAATTGAGCGACGATCTGTCTACAGAAAAGACTGATGACAGTTGATGCTAGCCGGAGAATGAGCATTTCTTGGTAAATTTTCTATAACTAATATATAAGTTTATAAAAAAAGGAGTACAGCTAAAAAATATCTACATACTAACGGTATAATTACATTAGAATATATAAATATTCGAGGTAGATTAACGGAAGAAAAGTATAAATGACGTGAGATTGGCAGCCGGTGGGAAAGTGATAAAGGCAATACATCATAGACATACAATTATTATATTCATCTATTTAAAAATTAATTGCAGACAGATCAAAAGAAAATAAAGATGAAATACCTCTGTACATAATCAAAATAGTATGATTGAAAAAAACTACTAATGAAACTCTTCACAAAAAACATTATTCACTACATCTTACAAGTTGATTTATTTCTTTAATCGACTACAGACAAGATAACACTTGACAAAAGTATTATGAAAATGTTTGGTTTCCTCGATGAAAAAAAACAAAAATCATGATGGTTGATAATGATTGTCTTGTACAGTTTCTCATATAAAAGAAGAATGAAAAAAGATGGAAATAATAAGTAGACGAGTAGGGAAGTTGGAAAGATAACGTTGGAGGAGGAACTGAAGCGATGTTTTTTTTGTCTCAGTGAGATAACAACAACAACAATGATGGTGATGATGACGACAAAAGATGAGTACCAAAATATATATATTAGATCAATATCAACACATATACACTATTAACATTTGAATGAATATAAACACAACATACGATATATTAAACGAAAATTAGAAGACTAAAATGAAATGAGAGTAGCACAAAATTAGGGAGAAATCGCATACACACGCATAATTAGATTCTAAATGCAACAATAACGGTGACAGGAACAATAACAACCTTTCCATACATATGGAAAATGTTCTCATTTCATTGGTATTGTTGTTTAGTGTAATTTATTCTACAAAAAAGGGCAAAAAAACTAAATGAACCTGAGCTCAGTTGTAAAAAGGCTTAAAATAGGAAGAATAATTCGGAAGACAGAAAGAAGAAGAGGGAAAAATACTCCTGTTGAAATGCACTCATACACTGAGCTACGTTTATTTGTGTTGAATTAGAAAATACTAGGCCTGACAGCAACTGCATGTATGTGCGTAATGAGCAGATATGTGCCTATTTGTGAATATATGTATAGATAAGTGAAATACACAGTTTGTCTTTAAGTTGACGAAATATTATACGGTGAAGAGGATGAAGGATCTAAGTTGAGTCTTTCTTTGCAGATGGGAATATGAGGTAGATTAGTATTTTTGATTGTATTTATTTCTGTATGTCTGTGCAATAGTGGTAAAGTAATTAAATGTATCGCTTCCTACTTGTATAGTCGTAGATACCAAATAATAATCCTATTATTGGAGGTAAATATGTAAAATATTTAATTCACAGCCTAGTACATACGAATACAATATAAACACAGCTGGTTACAGAAAGTATTATAACAACAAAGAAAGCAACAATAATGCAGTATTATTGTGGTTTTTTCAATTTCAATCTCACTTGTCATAATCATCATCATCATGAAATTCAAATTTCTTCAAGTTTTCATTTTCCTTGTTCATCTGTACACAGAGTACACACTAACATATACATGTTAAAGAGAAACTATAGATCTATTTCTATTCAGATTAGAAACATTGAAAATAGAATTCTTCAAACACAAGTTATGTAAGTGGAGTTAACATGTCAGATGGAAAGACGATAACAGTCCTTCCTGCCTTACTTGTAGTTCTCTTTCCCTTCCCAAATAGACAAGAATATAAGATTACAAATAAAGCAACAAATAGACGAGCAAGGAGAAGTAGAAAAAAGAATAAATGCTTTTCATGACAATATTGAGGCATGATTTACGAGTGTTGTTGTTGTTGTCGCCGGCATTGTTGTCACTGTTGATAAGGACTCGTGCAGTTGTTCATTAAATCTGTTAATATTATTTGCAGTAATAACATGGTCATCATTGTTAATAAAACAATGATTATAAACCAGTTGATTTGTAGTAGTTGGAGTATATAACGGAGAATTAGTATAAGAATTAAGAAATGCTGTACAAGACAACTGTGAATCAATGTTTTTCAATAATGATGCGTCATTATTATTACAATTGTTATTTCTATTGCTGAATTGAGGAATAGAAGTGGGCGAATGAAGAGAAGTAAGTGGGAAAGTTGAAGGAATAGGAGAAGTAAATGGTGTAGTAGATAAGCTTCCTGTAGCATTTACCATCATTGTAGTACCATTATTCAGATTATTTGTACATAATGAAGAAGCTTGATTATGTTTTATCACTTCATCATTTGATCGATAATCAGCGTCCGTAGATAATGATGGTGTGGGAATGACTTTTGAGTTAACATTGGTATATGCAAACTGACATGTTGGTATTACATACGATGATGTTATTGATGGTGGTGATTTCATTGATGATGTCATCAGATTACAATAAGATGGTTGTACAGGAAGTGAAACTCGACTACGTTTTGTTAACAACATTTCACTTAATAAACTTTCATTTGGTATTTTACCAAGTCTATATCGCATTAGTAAAAAACTTTCTAACTGGAAAGCAAGAAATTTAACTTCTGCTAATTCTAACAAAATTTGACCATATCTGTCTGGTAGAAGAAGAGTATTCAATTCATTTGGTGATTCATGATCTAGTTTTTGAGATTCACTGGATTCATTTATTGAACGTAGAAATCTTCGTGAACGTTTCAATAAGAAATGACAAAATTTTCCCTGAATTTTCAAGGCATAACTTAAGTTTGATGTTAGAAAGGTATCTGAAAAAAATAATAAGAGAGATAACATGCTTTCTATGTGCTTATCACAAATATAAAAACAGTATTGAATAATAATAGTAATCTCAATATTATCTTACAAGTATTAAATAATTGCACCTTGTCGATTAAGTTCACACTAGAATTGGAAGTAAGACAAAACTATTATTGTTCGACTTAAATAACACTGACAACAACAAGAAAGACAAACAGCCACAATCGTATTGTACTCTAATTTAATTTTCAAAAAAAGTAATGATAATAAACAAGATAGTAAATAATAACAATCATAGCAAATTACTTTAGCCCTATTCTCAACTGTTTTAAGGTCAACTTGCTAAACTATCGGTAAGATATTCCTAAGGTCATTTGTTTTTACTTTATTCGACAGTGCACACACATATACACAAGTTATTATTACTATTATTATTATTAGTGCGTGGATATTAAAGAAGCTTATGTTAGTGAAAAAAGTAACTTCAAATCATACTAGATATTCTACAGATATTTATCAAATATTTATATGACAAGGATACTAGACTGCTACAAAATGATAGGGCTTTGAAGAAAAAAAAACTTATATAGGGTACGGACTATTCATGAGCTGATTGGACGAACATAAAACAAAAAAACGTGAGCTAGCTTTAAGTATTATTAATATATTCTAGTTAAGAACACTAAAAAGATATTTAACATTGAACAATAGGTCAGTACAAGTATCATAAATCAAAGAACAGAAACTGAAATCTCTGCATAAAACTCAAGATGATATCAAGTAGTCAGTCTAATAAAGACTACGAGGAAACAGATAAACAGACTACCTGTGATTTTACGTCAAATCGGAATCGGGATATAATGGTTCCGAACTGAGCTATTGATTCAAGACACGAGAAATAAATGTCAAACGTTGTAATGTACGTGTATTAAAGAAGCTTCGAGTAGTTTTAGCGATTTTTAAAATAACAAAATATACCAATTAAGTGAATCGAACTAAACAGTCAACTCAGCGAAATCATTAACAAAATCACTCACTTTCTAGTGATTATATGTAATGGGAACATTCGTGAAGTCAGATACCACTACCGATAAAAGTTATTTTTAACTATTACTCATTAGAAATACTGGGATAAACTATTTTATGACATCATTAAACTATTTCAAGTGTTATAAAGTCACACTGTTAACAGTTGCAAGATTGTTATTATTCTAGATACACTGAACATTTATTAAACTGCACTAAAATTGATAATGGGCTATTTCACTTATTCAGTAGTGAATTATTAATATGTTATTCTAACTACATTAATTGAAATATCAGTATTTAACTTTCTAGGTAACGTTTATTTAATCGAACAAATTGTAGCTGCTTTCTGTCAATCAGCTTGAAACTTATCAAAACTCAATGATCACTATCATTATAAATGAAATGATATTCATAGTCATGAAATTGAAAAATCTACCGAGACTATAATTGAAAATAACACTAGGTAATGAGCTTTGAAGATTATGAAAAACAACGAGCTATATTATTGATACTACTTAACTAATCAAATCGAATTAGTAGAGTTGGTCATGAGCGGATGCTTCATTATCAACCAAGAGAGAAACAATAATTAATCAGAAAAAAATCTTGGAATAAAAACACACTTACCATGTTTTAAAGGATTAAACAAAACAATAAATTTCAAACAAGTAAATTCTTTATTATCCAACTGAAGTTTTTGAAATATTGTCAATAAATCATTCAATTTATGTTTTAAGTCTGATTGACCACCACCACAATTATCGACACCACCTAGAAGATTATTTAATAGATTTTCAATAAGATCACATATTTCCATAGATACAGAAGAATGAGACAGTAACGAAGATGATGTTGTTGGTGCTGTCGCTGTGATATTAGTAGTAGTGGTAGCAGTTAATGGGTTATTTTCATTACAATTAATAGAATTTGTATTAATTGGAAATAACGATGAGCAAACATTCAATGGATCCATGGCATTTTTACAACGTCTTTTAGAATCAGTTAATATCTAGTGAAGAGAGCGTTAAAGAAAAATTTAATTATTCATTGTAGCGAAAATAAGTAATAATTTGGAGAAAAGTGATTACGACAGTTAAATTGTAATGAACGAAACTTTAGTTGGAGTAAACCAATTTGTTATATTATGCAAAATCATACCCCTACATTTGTAAAATATGAAATCAATACATTAAATATACCGTTGTCTCTTAGAAACACCATCGTTATTTCAATCCAGTTGCCACTAGGACTGCTTCTGTTGTGGTTCAGTGAACAGATAATGGCGACCGTCTGTTGCAGTTATGTTTAGATAACCATCTATTCCTGGTAAACACCAACTTGAAATATAAGGAAAAATATCGTCTGGGGTGGAGACCTCCACAATTAACTGATCGATGAACTGAAATAGACCACATTACTACAAGTCAACGTCGGAGGGGTTCGATTGAAAACTGTCGCTCATTCTGGAGCACATATTTAGACTCGGATCGTGTATGTATTTGTCTGCGCCTTACCGGACGTAGAAAAGCCACAGCAATAAAACCTCTTCGATTCCAACTTAATGATGAAAAATTTAAGAACGTATTTTAGGGACAACTAGAAGAGTTAATCAACCACGAAAATGATATCCACTCTGAGGTGGCTTGATCTGTTTAAAAAGCCCCGGGAACAGCAGTGATATCTACTAGTAAATTAAACCAAAAGATTAGGAAAAACCAGTGGATTTCAGTGATATCTACAGAATTGATAGATGCTCGGAAACTCATCCCATCTGGCTCTGAACACGATGAGGAGTATGTAGTGATTGTGAGCAGTGATTGAAGCGAAAACAGAAGTGATGGGAAAGACAGCACCAATAGGTAACAGTAGACGACTCTTCAGATTTATCAAAGAAACGGGTATTAAAAATTCAGCTGTTAATGAAACTATCTTCGAGAAAGATGAGGCCATTATTCACTTTCAATCCAGGAGACTGAACCGATGGACAGAACACTTTGGGTAACAGTTCAACAGGCTTTCAGTCACACTCCAGTTACTCATTATCTCCAAATAACCTGACTGACAATGCTACAAGCAATCTAAGGAGAGAGGGAGCAGAAGGGATTGATTTACTAACCCCTGAGATTTTTCAGGTTGATGGTCCAGTTTTGGCAGTTAGGTTAACTGAGTCTTAGTTAAAATCCGGGAACTGGATGTAGTCCCATCTGACCTGTCACGATCGCAGATCCTCCTAGTTTATGAGGACAAAATTCCCATTGTGGAAATCACAGAGGAATCAGTTTAACGAATATAATGTCTAAAATGTTAGCTTCAATAATACTACGAAGTCTAATTAGAGCTCGTGAAGAGAAAATTAGGGAAAACCAGGTTGGTTTCAGACCTGGTTGTGAATGTGTAGACCAAATATTCACCCTTCAACAGATCCTGAAACATAGACATACTTTTGGAAGTCCTGCAATTATTGTAGTCCTTGACCTTAGGGCAGAGTTCGACTCTATTGATCGTAAAGTCTTCTGGCAGTGTTTATCATTGATAGGGGTCCCAAAGAAGTACATCAACCTTGTACAGGCTATCTGATTATAAAATTCTGGTCAAGTCACAGCTTATGAAGAACTGTTGTCGGAATTTGTCACTTCAAGTGGTATTCGTCAAGGTTGTCCGCTTTCGCCTTTTTTATTTGACTTTGTTATAGACACGCTTTTAGAGTCTACGAAGCGTTGCTCGTGCATTTTGGGACCGCGGAGTAAGCAATGCCTGATTTAGGAATGGAGCATTAGGTAAATATGGGAAATCGATTGATGAGGTATTAAATTTCCATCAAATGAGGCAGTTTGGATATGTGTGACGCATGCCTAATCACCACCTACTTCGATGGGAGATGTTTTCTGGTGTAGCAGACTGAAATAAAGCTAAGGGTGGTCAAACCAAAACGTCTCATCAGTCTATGACGTGATTGGCAATTGGGCTGAGCCATGTTAATAGGTGTAGACTGCCTGGTCGGGATTCGCATAATTATCGTAACCGATGGCTAGAGACTTTGGCGTGGTTCAAAATAGTTTACAATTGCGCAGGTACATCCGTTCTGTCTTCCTCCAAATTCCCCATAACCTGTTCGTTATTTCACTGAATTATATTTTCTTTGCGAGTCTTATGTTTGACCTTAAACTTTCCTATTACCATTGATATTGTTACTGCATCTACTATTCTGGGATCTGGCCAGACAAACTCATCTCGCTGTGTTAATGGGGCTTGGCAACTTGAACCGATGTACATGCATACAGGTTATACATTGTGTCTGACTGACACATAATGCTAACATTCGTCCGCGTAAGTAACACACACCACATTTTTTATTTTATTTGAACACAAATATTGGTACAAAGAGGAACCAGATATATATGCGCCACACAATAAAAATGAGAATGCGTAGATATAAAAAATTTAAGGTTCGTATAAGAAAAAAGAAGTAAAACAATGGACAGAAATGAGTGAAATAACAATAATGGAAGGGGAAGTTCAATTAGCAAAGTACAGCCTCAGATAATTCTTCCACTGAGGGAAGTTACGTCTTTTTTATAAAGAAAGCAAAATAAGGTTCAAGGATGATCATCAATGGCTTGTATTCTGAGCCATTTCTGATAACGTCTCTAGCCACTGTGTCGCACTATCTCTCGGACCCCAACCAGGGAGTCGTGAAGGACCAACAGAAGCCAGCCCTTTGCAGCTTTCTTTCATACCACAACACCATGTCATACACTGACCACATTTCTCCTTTCTACAACCAGTCCCAGTGTCGGCAAACAATGCACGACGTGGAATTCTTTGAGACGACATTCGTAAAACATATCCAAGCCACCGAAGTAGATGTTTCAAGATAGTGACACCAATTGAATTATCGTCTCTGTGCCCGATCATACGATGCAGAACCTCTGCATTACTAACATGGTGTTGCCACTGGAATCGAAGGCAACCATGATTTCAAGAAACGCTAAGACTGTTGGTTTGTGATAAGTATAACAGTGTTCCAACATTTGGCGTAGGGTGAAGATATAATTAATATATCCTCGAATCAAAACGAAAACCAGCCTGTTCCTCACGATTCATTCTTTTTCGGGTTTCGAAGAATCTACGAAGTATGAAGGAAGCCAATAGTTTGGACGCAATCGGAAGTAGACTCATCCCCTGATAGTTCTAACATAGGTGACGTGAACGCCTTTTAAAGATAGGGACGATTATCGACTCATTCCATGATGTTAGAACACTTTAGCTCCCAAATCTTTGTAAACAACACAATTAGTTCCTTTAACCAGAAGACTGCCACCATCTTTAAAAAGGGCCGGAGGCAAGTCATCTGGATCCGGCGATTTGTAGCGCTTCAAGAGTTGGAGTCCCTTGCGGACTTCCGCCTCATTTGGTGGATCAGTCGTCACTGACCATAGAGGGCAGGACAGTCTGACCGATGTTGCCGGGGCAGCAGGCCAGTTGAACTGTCCCTCGAAAACCTCTGCCCATTGTCCAAGACATCGACAGATGTTAGTGATTTGCACCCCGTCATCCTCACAGATTGTTTCACTCACACCAGACTTCTTGCTGACAGTGGCTCGGATAAGTTGGAAGAGCTTCCGGTAGTTACCAGATGCAGCTGCTGCTTCCAACTCATTGGCACACACCGACCACCAGGCTTCTCGGTCCTTACGCAAGCTTTTCCCAAATTTATGACGTAATAATCGTCGTTTGTGGTCAAACCGACAATCTTAGCTTCAATGATTTATCAGAAAGCCAGAAGAAACTCAGTGCTTATAAGAGGGAGGTTTCGCGAAGCCGCGAGAGGCTTTACTCGCCATTTTCATGGCGTCATGAAGTTGTAACCAATGCTCACCTATATTTTTCGGTGGGATGGTAGCTAGCCTAGAAGCTAGCTCGTTTTGATACTTAGTTGCAACAGAAGTTGTAACTAATTTACTGACATCAATACGTTTAGGACCATGAATTTGTTGGCCACCGAAAAGTAAGGTAAGATTGGCGCAAACCAGGGCATGCTCAGAGACCAGATAGGTAGTCCAAAAGGAGCAGCAGTCTTGCACACAACCATGCAAGCGGTAGCTCATCGCGATGTGATCAATTTGAGTCCAGGCTTGAGATGCAGAGGGAGGACGCCAGGTGGCACATCGGCGATGACTGTGCCGAAAGTTTGTGCTAGCCAGAAACAGGTTGTGGTCTGTGCACACTTGCAGTAGACGGTTCCCGTTATCTGTACTGCGACCAACAAGTCTCCATTGGCCACCTAAACGACTCTCTTCTGTGCCTAGACGCCCGACCTGAGCATTCGAGTCTCCGGCTAGTAATACAATATCTGTCGAACGCACTTTCTTTAGAACACACCACAAAATAATTATAATAATGGCAACAAATGATAATCGAAGATTTAGAAACACTTGAGGATCAAGTGGATAAGATTGAAATGATCTTTTTTGAAAAGGGAAACAATTTAAGCCAAAAGAACAGCTATGAGAGTCAAGTACAGTCACTTGTTATACTAATATGTTCAATTTTACAATTGGTTGGTCAGTGTGTAGTGACTAATGTCATGTTACTCGTGTTCTTAACTGATGACTGAATTCCTTTGATTAAGCGGTGATTCGCCATCTAGTCAGTCAGTCAGCCATCTAGTCCACATGCTTAGATATCGCATATATACTGTTTTAAAATCTTGGCGATTGAGAATAGTTGGCAGGAAACCATGGGTCTAGGTTTCGTGCTAGTTGACATAAATACCACAGACAGCATAGGTTCACTGAAGATTGCAGGTACACCTTACTGATGAATGCCAACTGGCATGAAGAGAAGGACACGTACTTTTCAACTAATTTCAAACCAATTAACATGTTCACTTTTGTTGGTTTGTATTGTCGAAGAGGGTTTACAGTGAGATGATTCGGTCGTCAGAATGTTGATTCACATTAAGTCACTCAAGAAAGGGGTTGAAAATTTAGCTGTGTTGATTTATAATCTATATGCTTAAAAAATTTCGCATTGGATTAATAGCGTCAATAATAACGATAATAATATTAATTGTGAAAACCATATGGATATATTGTGTAATGAGAAAAATGTTATCCGGGCAAGTGTGATGAGAAATTCATATGAATTGAAAGATAAACGAGCACATTAAGGATGTAGGCAGGGCAGTGAGGAACATGAAAGAGGATTAATGTGTAGAAGCAGATAATATGTGGCTCATGCATGGGATAAATAGCGGGTCATTGCAAAACAAAGAGGATGAATGTCCCTCTTTTAGATACATGAATCCAGCTTTATGGAGTTGATCCCAGGTGCTTAAAATACGTAGAGGAATCTCAACCTCCCCACTTTAAGTAGATGGCTGGGAACTGGATACAAGGTCAAGAAGGTTTTGTCTAATTTAATGTAGCACTCATTCAACTATTTAATATAGGCTGAAACAATTATATATATATATATAGTAAACAGCATATAACGTTTGTTTAAAAGAACACATTTCGATCATCAATATGTCTATGCAAAGAAAAACATAAACGGAACTAATAGTTATATTTTGTATTTCTTTAACAAAATCAATTGAATTCCCATTAATCTAAAAGAAGGGAGAGTTTATGTCAGAGTAGAGACAACCGCACAAATTAATTTGTCTTTTGATAACATGATTACAAAAAAGATAAATAAATTTAAAGAGAAAGTAGAGAGAAATAATACAGAACAAGATTACTTACTGTATTTGTTCGTTTAGCATTATTTAAATGTGTTACATAAAAATGAATAAACTCTAGTAGGATAATTTCACTCCAACTACTATTCAACAATTGCATTTTATCTTCAACCTAAAAGTACGGAAGTAAAAAGAAAATTACATAAATCACTTAATTATGAAGTAAAGATTTGTGGATAACACTCAGATTTGAATTACATATTTTCTAGATGGCAATTATTAATACTTCGGACCACTCAAACCAAAAGAGATGAACTGGCATTCGCACGTACGAACTTAATGGTTTGGTTTAAATGCTTTAACAATCACTAGCCTATTACCAAAAAAGACTCATAATGGGGCTAGAAAGTAGAGCCCTCATTGTGACACTTGTAATTCTTCGAATTCAAATTCACATACGATCACGACTCAATACTTTGCTGGGAAATCCGATATTGAGTGAATCCCAGTAGCTCTAAAGCTATAGTCAATTTGTGATAAAGATTAACTTTCAAAATAGTCCTACTGGGACCAAAAACAGTGACCTATTTTGGGCAGTATTGTTGATGAAAAAAATTTATAATTAGAGGTTAAAATAAAGAAATTTGACTCATTATTATGTACGTTGAACTATGGTTATAAAACAATCAGTTTCTTTCATCTTATATATACAGTAGATCTGTTCGAGGTAATCCGCATAGGATGCACATATACAGTCCTAAAAATCAGTGGGAAGAGTCAAACAACAAATACAAAAACCAATCTGTCCATATGGTTCTGTTTTATGATCATGACACATGATTGGATAGTATGTAAATAGTGCTTAGCCATTCCACAGTACAATTATGATGGAAAAGGAAGGATCGAATCACCACACCCCACGTCATCATGATTGAGAAAAAACAACTAAACCCAAACTTACACGGACAACAACTAAAGTCCTTATCTGTTTTCAAAAGGATCATAGGATAGTTATGATAATGTATTTGTAACAATAAATAGAATTTAGACATCAATTTACTGTCTTACTGGTATATTTCTAGTTAACCAATTCACATAAAACTAGTACAACTTTTGACAAACCACAAGAAAACCTAGTGACCCATGAGAGTATGTAATATTAGTTATTTTTCCCCAAACAATGAACAGACTAGTCAAATCTCACGTTGGGCTACATATATAATCCGACATTTCAGTGCATCTGATAGATGTATTGAGTTCTTTGCCCAGATAATGCGATTTTACAAATCAGTACCATCTTATCAACTTAACCTATTCATATGACATAAGTAGAAAAAAAGTCGTTTATTAAGAACAAATTATGTTCAAGTTCAATCAACGTAAACTTTTAGATGATGCTACTCATGAACTGCAGTCTAAAGTTCGATTCTTGCTAAAATCAATTCTGATGATATTGTCAAGATTGATAAATGTAGATTTTACAATTACTTCGTTTAGTAAGGTTAATTAGACAAAGTATATTGTATATTTTTCTTGAACATCGAAGTATTTGACAATAAGTAAAAAAAAGAAATTTTTTAAATAAGTGTGAAATAAACAAAGAAACCTGAAGATGAAACAATAACAAAGAAGTCACTTCCATATTACTTAAAGCAAAAGATCAAATATAACAATATGTAAGATGCTATTACCACATAAAAAATGTTTAGCAATAAACAAAGATAATAACCTGCAAGTATAAAGTGAAGTAAGGGACTGGATAATTTGCTGAATTAAGTTCTTTCCTCTCAATAAATGCATTATTTATTTATTTATTTGAACACATAAATATTGGTACAAGGGGGCACCAGATATATATGCGTTGGGAAAAATTAACAATGCATTGTGCATTTATCACATTTATCAATAAGAAATGTTAGACAATTTATACTCTTAAGTTTGTTGTATCCCAAATAATTATACTAATGAGCTTTATTTGAAAACCAATTAATGCTAACATCTACGTTATTTATATTGTAACCACCACCACTCCTGTTGCCAATATGTGGATAATTTTAATTGATAGATAGTTACGAAAATGGAGTAAATATATTGAAAGGACAGAGCAGATTTGGAATTCAAATGATAGGTAGTGTTGCTTTTTCTAAGCTAGATGATTTGATGGTGTGAATTTCACTGTTTTTTCTCTATTTGAAGTGGGGAAGTTGATGAGGTTAGCCAGAATAACAATGTGATTTTCATATAATCAAACCTCATGCAGCACACAGAAAACATAAGGATATAGGCTTGAAGATTAATATTCATTTACAAGTAATGAATCAATGTATTTTCTTCTAGATTGTACTCCATTCTTTATGCCTATTTAATAACTTTTTCTGCATTTAATCCTTTATTATTATCACTATTATTGATAACCATTATTTCCATTTCTTTATTTTTGTTTTATCCCACTGGATTTATCACCACACATATACACCTTTTTAAAGTGGGGAAAATTTCCCGATATGGGAAAAATTGCATAATTGCGTAATAACAATACGTTATTGATTGGGTTGTCCATTACTGATGTCAGATAATAACAAAAATAATAGTTATTATCATAACATACATAACAATACATTACCCACAGTGTTTGAAAAGCAAGTCGTTTATGTTATTGTTGCGTTATTTTGTTCTTTTTTAAAGAGAGGAAGAGATAAATAAACAAATTGTGGAGGAGAGCTACTTTTTATTATGCAAAATAAGAAGCACTGAAGTAGACATGACAAAATGACAACTAAAACAACAATAGGAACAATAATTATTGCTACAGTGGTATAAGTGGTGGGAGGTGATGGTGAGGAAATGAATTTGCAATTGTACGAGATAATGATCAAAAACAGAATTATCTAAAAGAAAGAAGGTACATGAATGAAACAGTTCAATAAGTTAATGATAGTAATAATATTTTATCAATAGATATTTCTCTCAACACACAAATGTAAGGTAGAAAAAAGCCATAGTGAAAATTAATATATACGTACATTTGTTAAATGAAGATTGAGAAAATTCCATGCAAGAATACAAATGCGAATAAGTATTGCTTTTTCTATGATAAAAATTTTATTGAATGTATCACGTTAGTGAGCAATGCTGGTGATTAAATGTAAAGGTACAATATAATGATGACAGATAATTAATAAGGCTATGTATTTCATTGACCATAATGGCTGGGATATGCATTACGCGTGACCGCAACAACTGTCTACTTTGATGTGCAATGTGGGCTGGAGCATGTTGAAAATTGGGAGTCGTTATTCCAAAACTTAGCACGTGTCCAAGAAAGCAGAGGCCGTTTGACTGATTAATCGTGATAAAAGTAGACTTCCTGGTTGAGATTCATATGATAATCGTGAACGATTGTCACAGACCTCAGATGGCATAGCTAAACATCAGTTACAGTGGCGCAGATGTGTTCATTCTTCATTGGTGTCAAAACCTTGAGTTGCGATATTATTTAGTCCTATCAATCCTCGTCGTTAAATCACTAACTTCAAACTACATATTTAGGCTTTTTCTAACGAACAAAAACACTATTAGTATTGCAACCAATTCGTTATTCATCTCGTTAATTTCATTTCATCGTGCGGACAGGGTGTGGCAGATTGATCAATATATAGCGCGAACATATATGCCAAGTCCTAGATTGGTTTTAAATAACTATGATAATATTATTTACGTTTTATTATCTTTATTTTAGTTTTAAAACAAGTTATTTCCTTAACTAGTGATACCCACTCAACCTTTTTCTAATAAAAAATTCGATTTATATAATAGACAGTTACCCACCAGGTATATTGGAAGATGGTTGCACGTAGTATTACAAATTGATTGAAGTCAGGAATGCAAACCATCGAATTCGGAGCTCAGTGGTCTGACGACCAAAGATCCTGGGTTCGGTTTCTGGTGACGGGGTTGTGTATGCGTACTGCTAAAAAGTCTCAAGCTAGGACGAAACAGCTATCTGATGCTTCTTGGTTCGCAATGATTATTTAACTAAGACCATTTCGTGATGTTAGGTATAAAAAATATTAGTTGGTAACAATATGGAAAACAAAAAACAAGTAATAGTAATAGGATGGAAAAAACCAACCAGAAACAAGGGACAATAACATGAACACAACTCACCGGTAATACTTTAAACGATTCCATTTGAGCCATCCAATCCACCAAATAAAATAAACACGTTTCTAATAATGAACATAAGGAAGACAATAAATCGTCTAAATAGGGATTAATAATTGTAGTACTATTTTCATTTATTTGAGCAGTTGAAGGAGAAGAAGTACCAAGTGTTGGAAAACAATTTGCTTTATTATTTTTAAAGATTGGCACACTGGATTCAGCCGAGTCAAAATGACTAACTGATTTTACCTGAGAACCAATATCATTATTATGCGGCTGTGATTCATGTACAAGTGAAGATGGTGACAATGGCAAGATGGGATTTGAAAAATTTCCTACAGACGATTCTCTAAACATTAACACAGGCTCCGTATTGATGCGTTCATTGATTATTTCGTTTCGTGATAATGACGTAGAGGAAGAGGATGATAGTATTGTGGTTGTACTGCTATTCGTCAGTTCGAGATTTTCGGATTTTAAAAATGAGCATAATTCAAAGAGACTGCGTTTTAATTTCTACATAAAGGAAAAGAAAATACATCTAAACATTTGATTGATACAAGAATTGTAATACACTTTTAAATAGTTTATTACGTTACGGAAATCTTTGCAATTCGGAAGAGAAAATTGAACAAATCCATTTTGAGTAGTAGTTGAGAATGAAAAACAGGTGTATTTTTGTTGTTTCGAACTCGTCATTTGGATTTATTTGTGAATTTTAATATGTTGACTTTTAGTACCTTATGTAATAAGTCTTTGAACGTGTAATTCACAGTACATGTGACGTTTCTATACGAACAAATGGGGTCACTTAGAATAATCGGAGATTATTTTGACCAGGAGTTAACACTAACGAAACTTCTTAGGTGAGTGAAAACGGCAAGAAAATCAAATCATCTAGTCTTCTCAGTGTTAAATTAGGTTCGAAGAAGTTTTGGAGAAATCATTAGCGACTGGCAGGTGACAAATACACTTTAGCTCAGGAGTTGTGATGGACGATTGTACCATCTTTTTACAAAAGGATTTCGTGTGTCTAATCAGCGCAGATTACAACATGTGATCGTAAAACGTTCGTGTACTAAGCTATATTCCTTGATCGAATGTTCTATCTTGTAAGAAACTATGTGCATGAGACTGCCATTATCTAGTCAACAATTTCAGTAAATTCTAGGAATACTTGCAAAAATCACTGAACACTTAATAGACCTTAATTATACACAAAAACCACACAGTTCTAAAAAGAATTTGTCCAGTAAAAAAATCACGAGTAACTGATTATTCGTACTTTTAATAAATACAAATCATTTGCTAAGACCTAGAGCCTAAAGCAATGCGATAAAAATTAAGACAATTATATTTAAGCAGACTGAATTCAATGGGGTTGGACATATAAATATGAAGAGATATGACCAGTTCATTGGACTATTTTCTCAATAGATGAATGGAATAGTGATACAAATACAGTTGTGATATGAGTTCGAATCTCAGTGGAAGTATCAATCCCCTCGAAAGTGCAGACAAGTCTTGGCGACTAGTTTACGAGTAGTTCCCTTCAATCACCTAACATTAATGCTACTTGAAAGCATCGAAATCACGAAATGATGTATAATAATAATAATAATAATAATAATAATAATAATAATAATAATAATAATAATAATAATAATAATAATAATAATAATAATAATAATAATAATAATAATAATAGTGGTAGTAGTAGTAGTAATAATAATAATAATAATAATAATAATCGAAACTGAAACTTACAGGGATAAATTTTTGAACAACTTCCACAACTTTGTAATCATGTTCTACCGATGTTGTAAATATCTGTCCAAATCTAAAGCCATTTGCATGGGTAGTCGGATTATTTTTAAATAAAATCTCATTATTGTTACCATAGTTAGTAACTTTATTTGTATTATTATTAGTAGTATTAGTGGTAGTAGAAGAAATAGTAGTATTAAGATGAGAAGTAGTAGCACCAGTATGATTTGATTCACTTTCATATTCTGATTTATGGTAAGATGACGTGGAACAAGTAAAACTAGAATGACCAGTACCTTCAGATATCTCAAGGATATCTCTTCCACCTGCTCCTCCTATGCTAGTAATACCACAACCACCACCACTGAGTTCATCATCCTCTCTATCTTCATCATCAAAATCCCTATCAGGATCATCAATATCATTTTCCGTATCATCATCATCATCATCATACTCGTCCACCTCATCGTAATCAGTATCTTCTTCATCATCAAGAGTACTATCTGTACAATCGTCCCCATCAGTATCATCACCTGTCAGATAATCATCATCTGGAATCTCATCAATGTTACAATCATATTTTTTATTTGTTAATAATTCATTATTGATCAATTTAAAGCTTCCATTGTTCGTATTGCTAGCAGTGGAATAGGTATTATTATTACTGTTGTGATTGTTAGCACTTTTTAAATTATCACTAGTTCTGACACCGCCATAATCATAAGATACTTCAGATTCACTTGATCCTCCACCTTCTGATTCACCACGCTCTGTTTTTATTGATTCAGTCTCGATAAAATCTGTGGGATTTGACTGATTGATTGAGGTGGAATTCATCATCATTTGTGTATGTGATGTGGCAGTATTCATCAAATGTTCATTGGTCAATTGGGGATAAGGATGGTTAGAAAGAGAAGGGAGAGAAGGAAGAAGTGAAGGAGACACAATAAGTGGAGCTTTTATTTGTTGTCGTATGTTTTGATGATACTGGCTATCATGGATAGAAGAGGTTAGTGAATACAAATGATTATTAATACCATTATCATTGAGAAAAGATGAAGTGTTTTTAACGAAGTTAAAAGGTAAACATGAATTACTAGGGTTACTTGTAGATTTAGTAGTAGTATTGAGCATATTTCCACATAAATTCAAGCTAGATGATTCAGATAAACTACAAACAACTGGACTACCAAAACTAGAATGTGGTTGATTATAAACTAAATGTAATTTAGAATTTTGTTGAGAATTATGACAAAACGATGGAATAGAGTGACTAGGATTATCGGTATGTAACGACAATTGTGAAGCACTATCACTGTTGTTGTTAATGACAGGAGAAGTAGTATTTACAGTTGCAGAAACAGGAGTAGAAACAATAGATGTGTTGCTATTGCAAGAACTATCACCATGACTAGGACTATCATGGACATTTGGTAGTACAAGATTTGAAGGATGCATAACTGATGAGGACGAAGTAGGAAGATTAGGATTTAAATAAACTGACGTCGATCGGGGAGTATCTTTTAATAACGGATGATAATTTGCGTCCATAATTTGAAGATAACTAGAACATTCATTCATTACGGACGAGTCATGTAGTTCCGATGATGTTGGGACAAAAGATGGTTCAGAAGAATTTACAATTCCAAGGCATGATGGATACCAAACACTTGTAGATGATGTTGAAGATACACCTTTTGTTAATGATGGAATCGATATTAATGGAGAAGAGATTTTAACATGTGATTGGATTCGACTATTATTATTGTTATTATTAACTTGATAGTGTGAACATTGATCATAAGAATCATTTAACAGATAAGAAGGAAATTGTTGATAATTATTTAGCTCCCTTGTTTCATTACATACACTGATGTCAACATGTGCAGTAGTAGGAGTAATAGTAGTAGTAGTAGTGGTGGTGGAATTAGCAGCAGTCGCAAAAATAGTACTATTTATGTCTGTAAAGCATAAACGTAAACGTTTCGGATCTGAATTTGACAAATCAACAAAATCTGGATTAGAAGAACGCATCCCAGTAGAACATGATAACAATGATGCTGATGAAGATGATAAACTCATTGACTTCAATGTTTCTGTTGTTGTAGTATTCGTGGTGGTGGTAGCAGTGGTAATAGTAGTAGTAGTACCGGGAAGCTGGTAATAAAAAGATATAAGTCCAGTTAGTAATCACACCAAGTAATCCATCAGAAACACAAAAAATGGTGAATTAGAATACAAAGGATAGAAACGATATCCAACGGATTAAACAAATAGACATCGCTGCTATCAAATATCCAATATATATATGATGAAAACAGACTCAACCATAGGTTTAAAAAACCTAATAGCTTTAATAATTATTATTATTGCAATCAACAATATATCACACACATGCACGTATGTGTGGTTACGCATAAATATATACGACAATAAACACCAATGGTCATCAACGCTGCTGAGCACAATTATTAATTAAAACACAAAACCAATAAGAAAGAGGAATAAAAAGAATCATACAACAGAGAGAAAAAAAATAAACTCAAAATTGTTATTATTATTTTTTATGTATACACGACTAAAGTTTCATTTGTTTGCATTCGCTTGATTAGTATTATAACTATTTAGTGGTAGTAAATTTTTAGGACAAACCTGGTAACCTCCTCCTGACTGCCAAACATTCAACACGGTGTCAAGGATTATTATTTTTACTAAAGCACTATTATTCTAATCGTAGAATGGACACTTAAATCTCTAGTGTAGTTATAGGTTCAATTATAAGGGTGATAGTATATATACATATCGGGATTATACCTTAGTAATAATTTGTATATCTACATGATATTGTTGTTCTATCAACAAAATTTATTCATTGACCTATATAAGACAAACAACAAAATGTTTCTATCTATGAATAACAACCTAACTTATTTGACAGTATTTTCTCCTATTAATATTATTATTATTATTATTATTATTATTAGTAGTAGTAGTAGTAGTAGTAGTAGTAGTAGTAGTAGTAGTAGTCGGCGGCCTATGCTCCATTAGGAGTAACAGGCGTAAGTAAAGTAAAGTAAAGTAAAGTAAAGTAAAGCAAGTAAGTAAGTAAGTAAGTAGTAGTAGCAGTATCAGTAAAGGTTTGGGTTTTCCAGTTGTTGGTATTGAAGACTGAATTCGAGTTGGTCTTTATTGGAGTATGGGCTACTATCGAACTCTTCGATATAGTAATCGTAACTATAGGTTTATAATAGTGATTGGCAATGAGATCCAGAATCCACGTTCGATCGTATTTGGGATTCAGTGGATAGTGTATTTTGAAGCTTAGAGTGATAGTAACTAGAGGTCAAGTATCAATGTACACATCAACAATGGGATACAAGCCCATTCAAATGATAATAAGATAAAATGGGAGTCTCATACTTCAGTGTTAACCACTTTCATCCAACGGTGTAATCAAAGTTTTTTAAAAATTACATTTATCACCACCACAAGTAACAACAGGATTTTTTAACCAATAACATAATACTATAGCTCATCACGAAAGCAGCACTTTTATTAAATAATATATTCCTTTTTAACTTTTTTAAAAATCGGTATGAGGATAGGATGTGTCTGTGAATTTGTGCAATATTTAGCTTTTTTTGTTCATTCAGTGAGTATACGTAGCATATGAGATCATAATTGTCACTGGAAATTTCATTTGTTTTTTTCATCCGGTAAGTTGAAATGAGCTACAGTGGCGTGTTTATAGAAGACATATGTGGACAGCTTAAGCTGATTAAAACGAAGTTCATAACAGAAACTACACTGTTATATGAGGCATTGGCACATTAGCTGAACAAAAAATGCTAGATATCGCACTTTTATTGAAGACTGAAAAAGGTGGGTTATCTTCACAATGTGATTTTATGTGTCAATTTTACAGCCGGCAACTCCAAAGGAGAACAGGTAACACAAAACAAAATCAAGAGGTCTAAAAAAATTATGTTCGTTTGACTTTGAAAAGCTGCGATTTCAAAATCAGCAGCAGCGAAGCCTGATGACATTGGAAAATTGTTAAAACATACACATATGACATGATTAACACTATAGTAATGAAAAATGGATTAAAAACTTTGCAAGCCCATAGGAAACAAGTTAAGCAATTACAGGTCTTGAGATAGTGGGAATTCAAGAATAAGTGTGTATAAAGTCACATAAATCTATCAGATTATAAATATTGATTGCGTAAATACCAATACACACAAACACAATATGTAACTTTATGAACTCAAAGAAAAAGCTGTTATGACACACTTAGAAAAATAAGAATTATGTAAAAATCGAAAAAAACATCCAGTTGAACTCTATACGACCAGTATGAAAAAGCCCACATAGATCAGCAATTATCTTAGCAACTTAAGCGACAAGTCATTTCTATCCGACACAATGTTAAAATCGATTATCTTTCTATTCACTCCAACAGATATCCAAATTGTCGACAATTTAGATAAAACACTATTTTACATAAACAAGTGATACATGTACATATCATAACACCTTTTGATTCATTTCTAAAACAATGGTAATAGTTTTTAGAACTGAATGATAGTGCTACATCTCAAACAGTACAAATGTAATTTTCCGGGTCAAGGGCACAATAGACAATTCAATAGTAATGCAACTTACTAACCAAGTATACGTTTACGTACTAGGAGGTTTGAAGTCAAACATTTTTCATAAGGATTAGTGATACTGTAGTTTGCGCTACTTATGCAGACAGACATAAGTAGTGCGTAGAAGGAATTGGAATAGAATTGCTTGCTTACCAGCAGAAGATTGAAATAAAGAGAATAAAATGGAAATTCGGGAGCGATCGGAATAACAACAGGATTAGAAGAATGACGGAGTATATAAAGGACAACTCAAGGAAGATGTACAGATGGTGTACTTAATGTACAATTTTCATATTTTACAAATCCACTGTGTGGTTTTGCATAAAACAATAAATTGGTTTACCGTACCTGAGTTTTCGTTCACTACAATACTAGTCACTTCTGTTCAGATCGAAATAAGTAAGTTGCTGTTCGAATCAATAGTCAAAAGCTGAATGCTGTAGCTACTAACTTATCATTCAAATGGTAAATAGATATTATCCTACTACATAGTTATATGAAGATAGTACGTGAATGATAGCATCATGATTTCTTATATCAGTTCTATTAATGAATTTAGTTAAAATGAAACTATATACACTTGGTAATTTTATGTTTATTCAGAAAAAATAACAATGAGAAATGTAGACATCTTGAGAAAATACAAAAATGGAACCATCGAAAAATGACTATTATATTGAATACAGTTGAGTTCCACGTAAAACGATTGGCTACCATAAATACTGATTAACTAATTTTATGGTCATAGAAAACGCCATAAAAATAAATTTCCATTACCAGAAAGAAGATATCAAGAGGATGCACGGTGCTGAATCCAAATATGAAAATAAAGCTTTCTGTGTTAAATGAAATACATTGTATTTCTTAAACGGTAGTCGTATGTGAAAAATTAATCTAATATTTGTTATTATTCCTAGTATTTTCACTTGGATTGTTCAGTTCAGTCAACAAATATGTTACTAAAATGACCAAATGATACATCAACTATGTCTTATTATCAATAAACAGATATACTTTTATAGATAATGCAAGACTGAATACATATATTCTTACTACTCCATCTAATTATTATTCATAGACAATACTGTATCGAAATTAAAGAATATAAAATAAATAGAGCAAATGAATAGGTAATTTCAACACTATAATATGAACAAGACATTCTTGTTTCTAAAATAAAAGTTCTATTGCGGAATAAAGTTATAAATTAAAGATCAGAAATTATTGTTTATTCCATAAGCTTATACAAGCAGTATTATTGATAGTAATCTATTGAATGTACGCATCCAAAAGTTTTTGCAAGCATATGTATGAGCATGTAGAAAGATGTGGATGGATGAGTTTGTGTACAAAAACCTTAGAAGATGAATAGAATACGTAGGAAAAAAATGTAATGTCTACATACTTAAACATGAACTGAGGTGAACTGAACAGAACTAAACTGATCTAGTCGAATATTATACAAAATATATATCAATCAGGCAAAACATTTGATATATGTGCACAGGATGAGAGCGAGAGAGGAAAAACAATGAACTGAAGTATATATATATATATATATATATATATATATATATATGTCCTCATGAGGTCATACATATTACACAAAAATGCATATTTATTTATACGATAGTGGTAACACATAAACACCGATAAATAAATACATTAAATATAATATAATACGGTGCAGTACAGTTTGTTTTATGCTACATACTATGTTACATGAAGTGTAATTTATTAGATTTATATATATATATATATATATATATATATATATATATATATATATATATATATATATATATATATATATATATATATATATATATATATATAGTTACCAGAATAGATGAGGCGATTGGAGCGCACAGTTACTTCACTTTTTATTACTGAGCTGTGTATATGTACGAACTACTCTATAAAGAAAAATTTCGCACTGAAAAGTGTACAAACAACCTAAAAGTTGCACCATTTGTTAATCTGTTTGGTGTAATTAGCAAGTGCTCCTTTCACCATTCCAGTGTACGACGGCATATGTTGATAGAGTGATATCACAACATTCTAGGCCAAAAAAACCTAGTAAGTCAAAGAAATGACACTAATACTTAGTGAACAGTATGCCTTATGGAGATTGGAGTAAGAACTTTCATATGATGCTCCAGCTCATCTAAAACATCAGCACCAGGACGCCTGAAAATTCACGTGAACGACCTGCGGCCATGGATAATAGAATGTCTTCATTGTACGTACACCAGGTCAAAAAAACATCACAGAAAGTGAAGCATACAAAATAATCGTTGAATTACGAAATATCCCAGCCGGCCATGATACGTTTGATAGACCGTCTGGTGGAATTTTCTGTAGAAGTGAAATGTTTTTAAAAACCTAATATGATGAAAGTCATGCAAAAAGCGGCGGATGATTTTTAAAACTGATAACCACAATCAGAGATGAAAGTGTCTGCCAAAATGTTTCATCCTTCCTTGGCTCTGCCAGTAATCC